GACCTGAGCCGAAGTCGGACGCTTAACCGACTGAGCCACCCAGGCGCCCCAATGCTTATTTATTTTTGAGACAGAGTGCAAGCGGGGGAGGAGCAGAGAGAGAGGGAGAGACCGAATCCAAAGCAGGCTCCAGGCTCTGAGCTGTCAGCACAGAGCCCGACGTGGGACTCGAACCCACAAACTGAGATCCTGGCCTGGGCCGCAGTCGGACATTTAACCGACTGAGCCACCCAGGAGCCCCCAATTATTAAATGTCAGCTCACTTATTTAAAAACATCATGCAGATGAGAAAGAATGAAATCATGCCATTTGCAGCAACGTGGATGGTCCTGGAAGGTATTGTGCTGAGTGAAATAAGTGGGTCAGAGAAAGATATCATATGTTTTCACTTACATATGGATCTTGAGCATCTTAACAGAAGACAATGGGGGAGGGGAAGGGGGAAAAATAGTTACAAACAGAGAGGGAGGGAGACAGACCATAAGAGACTCTTCAATACAGAGAACAATCTGAGGGTGGTTAGGGGAGAGGGGGAAATGGGTGATGGACATTGAGGAGGGCACTTGTTGGGATGTGCACTGGGGGGTTGTATGTAAGCGACGAATCACGGGAATCTACCCCCAAAACCAAGAGCACACTTTACACGCTGTATGTTAGCCAATTTGACAATAAATTATATTAATAAATAGATAGAATAAAAACATCATGCAGGCCAAATGGACCCCAGCCCACAGAGCCCCGTGTGCCACCCTGCTTTAGTCTAGCACCCTCATGATACAGATGGGTAAACTGAGGCCCAGCGAGGGGAAGAGGTTTGCCAGTGGCAGAGCGGGGCGAGAACCTGGAGGGTGTTTTGCCCTGAGAGCCCTTCCCTCTTGATTTACGGGGACCCTCCTTGCCAGGCCTCACCCTCCTCATCCCCTATCTCCTCGGCCGCAAGAAGAGGTGGAGCAAATGCAGGATCCGCGTGTTCGTGGGGGGCCAGATCAACAGGATGGACCAGGAGAGAAAGGCGTAAGTGGGGCTTGCTGGTCCAGCGCCAGCCCAGCTCTCCCCAGGGGTGCCCCCACCCCCGCTCCCCGCACCCGCACCACTGCCCCGGGTGGGCTCAGCTCCCCCCAGGGCACAGCAGTGGTGAGGGGGCTCTGGGCCCGGGCAGGCTTCGGTGTCCTGTCCCCCTTTTAATAAGCGGCAGGCGCTCTAGTTCCAGCCATGAGGGGGAGGAGTGTTACATTTTAAAACCACAAAATCTGCTCAAGGAGAAATCTGTGTGAAAGGAAGGATGGAGAAGGCCCCTCCTGCTGAGAGGTGAGGTGGGGCTGAGGATCCTTCAGGGCGACATCCCCCCAAGCTTGGGATGCTGTTTCTGGTGAGACAGGAGGTGACTTCCGTGGCCAGGAGACGGGGCCGCAGATCCTACTGAATTTCTTGGTGAGAAGTGACGTTTAATTCTCCTCCAATTGTGTGGCTCACTCCACAGGAGGAGGGCCCTCTGCCGGGAAACCCAGGCTAATCTGTCTCACCCGGAAAGAACAGGCCTGGCTGGGGAGCTTGGCCGGCAGCGGCTACCGGTCAGAACTTAGCCACGGTGGTTTGTGGGTTTTACTGATCGCCTCTCTCCAGCAGGAGATGCTGGTTTTCTCTTGAACATTGCCCTATGACATTTCCTTTTAAGATGTGGCTAAGTAAGAAATGAGTTGATTTAAGTCGAAAGGGAAGTAGATGGTAAGGCAGGTATACAGGTGTGCGGCCGGGCAGGTGGCTCACGTGTGCCTAGAGTTGGGCCACGGTTGTTTTAGAGCAAAAGCGAGGTCAAGTGAGGTGAAAGGTTGTAGGGTGGAAGACCGCTGGACGGGGCAGACAGGTTGGGAACAACGGGTGGCTTGCTCAAGGTCGTGCGATTAATTAGCCAAAGAGAAGAAACTCTGCCCAGCCTCTGGTGCCCTCTACAACAATCCCAGCCACGACGCCCCAGGGCCGGGACCCTGTGGCCTTGCCACCCTGGTCCTGCACCAGGACTACGTCCCCATGATGCCTTCTCAGTCACCCCTTGTGCGAGTTAAGGGTGCCCAGCAACCCCATCTCCTTGTCCTCACTCCTGCTGAGAGCTTCTATACCGGAAGGCCCTTCCCAGCAGTGCCGAGGAAAGCGTTGCTTAGAAAGAGCAGCATCTAGCTTCTCTGTGATCTCCAGAAACAGGCCAGGAAGGCTGCTTTGCCGGCTCAGCTTCCAGTTCCAGCCCCCAATGGAAGCCGGGCTCAGCAGGTTTAGTTGGGCTCAAGACCATGGCCCCATGGGGGTCACGGGCTGTCCTGCATGGGAAGGTTGTAGAGTGTTCTCTGCCTCCCAACTGTCCCTCCACCAGGCCAAGCCCTCTTCCCCCCACTTTGTGACCCCAAGACCAGGCTTGTGCTGCCTCCTGCCACCCCCCACACTGCACACCAACACATCTGCCCACAGCTCTGCTTCCTAATTTCGCTCCCGAGTTCAGGGACCAGCAGCAGCTTGATACCTGGGCCCCAGCCTGATCCTTAAGGTTTATCCCTCCCTCCTGCCTCCCCCAGCTAGCCACTCACTGCTCCCCCTTCACCCCCTGCACCCCCATGTTCTCACTCATTGGGACTTCCCACCCCCATGCACTCAAACCCTGCCAGCTCATTCTGGAGTATCCCCAAAATCCCGTCCCGTCCAGGAATTCTGATGCAGTGGGTGGGCTAGGGCCAAGTCAGGTATATTATTTAGAAGGCTCCGGTGTGGACACCACACCCCCTTATAATAATCTTACACACCGGGCACTGTCTGGCTAGCTTGCCGCCTCCTCCATGAAGCCCTCCCTGACTGACACAAACCATGGCGTTGGCGTCTCCTCCCCTGTTGCATGCAAAGCCAGTGCTATGTGGCTGTCGCTCCTGGTTCTGCATGTAGCTCATGTGCGGCATCTCTGTTTCCTTAGCCCACCCTGTAATTTCCTGTGGTTTACCTTCCCATCCCTTAGACCCTTGTTTCTCAAAGTGTGGTCCGTGGAGCAGCCGTATACATCACCTGGGAGCTTATCAGAATGCAGAATCCCAGGCCCCTGCCCCCGACCAGGTGAATCAGACTGCATATTGTGACAAGGTCCCCGGCAGATGTATAGACACATTAAAACGTAAGGCGTGCTAGTATAGTACGGAGATACTTGGGGAAACCCTGCTTCATTACTTTTCCACATTGCTCGTCATCATCTGACCTACTCTATCAATATTCGGCTCTTGTCCTGAATGCAAACTCCCTGAGGGCAGGGTTTGATCTGCTGTACTCGCTGCTGGGTCCTCGGTAGACACTCAAGACCAACCCACTGACTGGAAGAACTCATGTTTAGAACTCTCCACCTTCCAGGATCATTTCTCTGTTGAGCAAGTTCCGACTGGGATTCCACGACGTTCACGTCCTTCCCGACATCAACCAGAAGCCGCGGGCGGAGCAGTAAGTTCTCTGCGCTGACTTCCTTCCCAGGCAGAAGGACCAGCCATGTGCCCTGCAGACCCCTGTGCGTGTTGCCCCTGCGTGTCTGGTGAGCCACGGGCAGGCAGCCACCTACACGGGGCTCAGGGGAAGAAAGAGGAAGGGGTAGGAGTTTGCAGCCGCTCCTCCTGCCAGTGTTTCTTCCTTTGCATATCAGAGCTCTGGGCTTTGCCAGAAACACAGCTGGGCTGGAGGACAGTGAATGGTCAGTTCGTGCTTTTCTCAGAGCACGTGTTTCACGCTGGCGCGCGTCCCGGGTGCTCTGCCCCTCGAGGGGAGGCAGGTGTTTCAGCCTTAAGGGACCCCACCCCCACCCACCCCAAGGACCTGCAGGGGTGGGGGGGGGGTGTCTGGCTTCACACTTCCCACTGCTTGCTACTCATAAGTTTCTAAATTTTCTCCAACACCCTGAATGTTTTCATAAAGCAGTGGTTCTCAAACCTTGGCCGCTGTCAAAATCACATGGAAAGGCGTATGACAACACAGCTTGCTGGGTCCCCCCCCCCCCCCCCCCCCCCCCCCGCCCCCTGCCCCAAGATGCTGAGTCAGCAGATCTGGGTCAGTGCCTGAGAACCTGCATTTCTAATAAGCTCTCAGGTGCCGGTCCAGGCACCCAACTTTGAGAACCACTGTCTTAGTCCTGAGTCGATGTTCAAAAATGCCAGATTGATGGCTTCTGCCTACTTGTGGCTTCTGAGCTCTAGACCTTGACCTTTTTGTGAGGTCTCAGCTCCACTATGAACTTACTCCTTCTCTAGGCATTGCCTAATTTAAGTTCCTGAAAAAGGAACTATGACTGGCCTAGTTTATCTCTTCCTGCCAGGCGAAGGTAGAGGTTGCCGCAAAGCCTATTTCTTGGCTACCTTTGCTCCAGTTGGCTGTGGCCAGGGTTGGCAGAGTCACAGGCCCAGAAGCACATGGCTGGAGGGCAGGGGCCGTGGCAGAGGCACATTCCAGAACTGAAGGTACATAGTCCCTGAGGCAGAAACATGGCAGCGACAGCCCCTGATGTTATTTTTATAAATACATCGGTGCTTAGAGTGGGGCGAATGTTGAATGGTCTGGGCCACACCTCTCCTCCTCTCCCCCCACCCCCACAACAGCAAGCACACAGACTTTAAGCAACACCCCCATGTGAACTTGTAGCTAGGCTCAATGGTGGGGTCAGAAGGAAGGTTATTTGCCTGCTCAATGATTCAATTTCATATTCTGAAACTAAGACGTTTACAATAGGGTTTGCTTTCTGTAAATCAGTCTAATCGAGGTTTTGAGCACTCCACCTCCCTAGTAAAAAGTAAGGTCCGTCCGACCTCTTACTTCTCCCTTAGATTCCCCATTTCCTGGAAAGGGAAGGAAATCAAGAAAGGGACTAGTCAGTGGTGATGGGTATATTGGCCCCTACTGCGTGTTGGGGCAGAGGTGAGTAATCACAGCTCCCACCACCAGGGTTTACTCTGGCCCAAGTGCAGGCTAGAGGAAGTCAAGAGCCATCAGAACGCTGCTGACACGGACCAGAACGCACAAGACAATGCAGCTGTCTCCGTTGGCAAAGCCTTGAGAAAGGCCTCGAGCAGAGACACTGGGGAATACCTTCTAGCGGGGAGGAGACTGAGAGCAAAAGCACGCAGACCCCATCCAGCAGCCCTGATCTTTAAAACCCCCGCCTTGGCCCCTCTCTGCCTTCACTTCCTGGCCCACTGTCTCCTCCTTTGCACAAACTTCTCCAAAGAGATTTAAGCCCTTCGTGGCCACTACCTCACGGAAATCACCCTCGCCAGCGTCATTGCTCACCTCCGCACCACCTTGTCCACAGAGCTCATTTCTGTCCTTATCTTTCTCTGCCTCTCCACTACATTTGACACAGCGATCCTTCCTGAAACAGTTCTTTTGGCTCTGGAGACGTCGCCCTTGACAGGATCCCTCCTACCTTAGTGATCCTTCTTTCCAGTTTTTTATTTTATTTTTTAATTTTTTTTTTTTTTTAGCGTTTATTTATTTTTGAGACAGAGAGAGACAGAGCATGAACGGGGGAGGGTCAGAGAGAAGGAGACACAGAATCTGAAACAGGCTCCAGGCTCCGAGCTGTCGGCACAGAGCCCGACGCGGGGCTTGAACTCACAGACCGCGAGATCATGACCTGAGCCGAAGTCGGCCGCTCAACCAACTGAGCCACCCAGGTGCCCCATCCTTCTTTCCAGTTTTGATTGCTGATTATTCCTCCTTTATCTGACGTAAACTAGTCTGCATCCTTGGGATTGGGCCCTGGACATTTTTTTCTCTTGACTCTGTCCCCCATGTGAGCTCATCCATCCATATGGCTTCAGGAGGCTTCATCTGAATGCTGACCAGTCCCAATTTCTATTTTAAATAATGTAAGTCAAGTCACAGAACAGACACAGACAGCTTCCTGTCTCACTCAGGGCAAATAACGAAGGCCTGTCTGATCTGGGTGCCCCACTCACCTTGCTCTGGCCATGCTGGCTCCTTTGCTGCTCCCCAAGCACACCAAGCACACTTCTGCCTCAGGGCCTTTGCACCTCCAGTTCTGTGTGCTTCAGCACCCGCTGACCTGTGAAGAGCTGGCTTCAGAGGGACAGGCATCCTTCAGCTTCAGGAAGGCCTTCCCCACCCCAAATATTCCCAGTCCTGGTACTCAGTTTGTGCCTTCAGGAAACTTCCCCTCTATATTGGCCTGTTTATTGCCCAGCAGACTGTGTGCTCTGTAGATAGCGGACGTTGTGGGGTTTGTTCCCTGGCAAGTAGCACAAAGCCTGGCACAGGATGGTACTCAGGAGCTACCTGGGGACCGGTCCAGTGGGTAGAAGTGGATCCCAAGGCGGTCGTGTGGACAGCTTGCAGAAGGTTGGCTGAATGCCACAGCCAGCGTCAGTGCTGATTTCTGCGCAGAAGCTGCTTTGATGTAAACCGCAGTGGCAGAATGGGTTCAGCCTATAAAGAACGTCCCTTTGGTTCCCATGTCCATCTTCCTCGGGGGACCTGGTTCCCATGGAAACTGGGCCATCTCACCTGGTCTCACCTCCTCTCTCTGTCCCTAGCACCAAGAGGTTTGAGGACATGATTGCACCCTTCCGCCTGAATGACGGCTTCAAGGATGAGGCTGCTGTCACCGAGATGAGGCGGGACTGCCCCTGGAAGATCTCAGATGAGGAGATTAACAAGAACAGAGTCAAGGTACCAGAGAGAGAAGGGCCTTGCCGGGGTGGGTGGGGGTCAAGGCCCTCCTCTGGGTCAGGGCCATGTGCTGTATCTGTCTTAAACTTTCTTTCCTTTTTTTTTTTTTTAAGCTCATTTATTTATTTTGGGAGAAAGCAAGTGAGTGAGTGGAGAGGGGAAGAGAGAGAAAGAGAGAGAGAGAGGGAGAGAGAGAATATCCCAAGCAGGCTCTGCACTGTCAGCATGGAGCCTGATGCAGGGGCTGGAACCCATGAACTGTGAGATCATGACCTGAGCCGATATCAAGAGTCCGATGCTTAACCCACTGAGCCACCCAGGCGCCCCTGTTCTGAACTTTCTTAACGTTCTCCTCTTAACCCTCCCCCTCTACCATGCCCCAGCCTCTGGGGTATCCTCAAGCCACAGATGCTTGGTAGCCCAGTCGTGGAACTCAGAGCCATTCTTGGCATGAGACCCTGGTCCCTCTGCCCATTTGAGTCACCCCCGGCCATGGCAATGGACTGGCCAGAGGTCTTCCTCTCCTCTCTATGGCTGGTGGGAGGGATTCCTGAGACAGGTGGCAAAGGTCAAGGTATACCTTGTGCTATGGGCCAACAAGCTGCCTGGTGGTTCCCCTTAGCCTGTGGACCCCATCCCACAAGCAGCCTAAAGCCATGGATGCCCCTGCCCAGATAGCATCTTCCAGACTCTTTCAAGGCCTAGAGGAAAGTGGTGGCTGCCGTGGCCACTCTGCGGTGGGGCGAGCTGTGGGAGCGCCTGGGGATCACAGTTCTGCTCCCTGTGTGCTCTGGGTCAGTGGTCCCCTCACCCCCACTTTGCCCCTTAGAGGACATGTAGCAAACTCTGGGACACCATCCCATCCCACCTTCCCGCAAGGAAGAATTACTCCCTGCAAACGTCACTAGTGCAGGGTCCGGAGTCTGGGATCTCAGTGAACTCACTTCCCTCCTTCTTTGGGGTGTCCTCCCACAGTCAGACTCTTGAGTGTCAATCATTTCTGAACCATCTGGAGACAGGTCTTGGGGTGGGAGGGAGCCTTCCAACCCAACCTCACGTAAGCTTTGGGGAGTTCTGATCTGTCACAGCCCTGAGGCTCTGCCCCAGAGGGCCCACAGCTCCTTGGGAAATGCTGGATAAAGCATAGTGTCCCCAGAAGGCTCTGGCTTGGCCTGGTGCAGAGAAGGAGACGGCATGTTCCACCTCTGCTCCGACTCTACCTTATCGAGAGGCTTCCACATGCCAGGACCTCGGCTTGGTGATTTGCATGGGTTATCGCTCTCGACGCTGCCCAAATTCCCCCAGGGAGGGGATTATCCTACCCATTTTGCAGCGAAGACAGTGAAGCTTGGGGGGCCCGCATGCCTTGCCTGGGTTCTCTCTGCTGTGAGCTATCAGGGCTGAGATTCAGACCCAGCTCCCTCCGCACCACAGAAGGCGCTCGCTCCCCCGACTACGCCCCCAGTCGTGGTAATAAGGTCCAGCAAGGAAAAGCCACGGAGGGCTTCTCAAGGTGAACTTGGCACTCAGTGACTCTGAGGGGCCCCTTCCATCTCAGAGGAAGGAGAGTCTGTAATAGTTTAGGGGGAACAATTCGTGCATCTGGTTTGAATGTTAAAAGAGGCTGGTGGGCTTAGCGGGGACGTTTCCCAAGAATGTAGGCAGTGACCACGTGGCTTTTCGTTCCAGTCCCTTCGGCAGGTGAGGCTGAACGAGATCCTGCTGGATTCCTCCCAGGACGCTGCTCTAGTGGTCATGTAAGTGGCCCCCGGTGGGAGGGGAAGCCTGTCGCAGAGGCCCGGGGCGTCCGCTCTGGGAAGGGATTCAGGAGGTGCGCACCTCAGGAGGGCTGGGGACCCGAGCCCTCCCCTGTGAGGCGGAAGGGCCCGAAGTTCCAGGAAACACAGTCCAGGTGGCTCGTTAGCACGTGGCTGGGCCTGCGTCCACAGCACCCCCCTCTCCTGAGTGCCAGCTGGCAGAGGTCTAGGGCCTCACACGTCCCAGGCCTCACGGACTCCCCTGACCATGGTTTTCCCTCGTTCGCCTCCTTTTCCTGCCAAACTCAGCTTGGCAAAGAGGACCCAGCCCATTCCAGAAGAACATCAATTCCTGGTTGTTTGGGAATCACCCGGCCCTTCTTGGCCATTGGCCACCCCCGACTGACATTGGTGCCAAGCCTGGGCAGCAGAAGGAGAGGCTCGCCATCCCAGGCTCCATGCCCGTCAGACCCTCCGGCTTCCGCTGCTGCTGGCTGTGTCCGGTTATGGGCCACTTCTGACTATGCGGAAGGCGAGGGGACAGGTGGCAGTGGCACTGAGGGTCTCAGGGTGGCTCTATTCTCTCGGAGGCCAGGAGGAAAAACATGGTTGGTCAAGCCCTCTGAGCGCCCTCCCTGAGAGAAGCCCAGCTCCCAGGGAATGGGGCTATGGGGCAAGGCAGCTAGCTGACCTGGCTCACATTTCCTGAGGGCTAGTCACCTGGGAGTTCCTCAGGACAGCCAAGAAGCCTGCGGGGACTGGTTTTTCCTATCCTGAAACCAGGATCCAGCACACCACTTGCAGGCCCCAATGCAAAATGAAAATGTGTTCAAACATCATTAAGGATGGCAAGATGGCGGCAGCAGAGGATTAAGCCCAGCGTGGGACCCTTCCAAGTGCAGGGGCCCCACGCGACTGCACGGGTTGCACGTCCAAGTGGCTGGCTCTGCGGGAGCAGTGCTCCCCGGGGCCAGTAGGGCGATCATTTTTTGTACAACGAAAGTGCTTCGTGTTTCTTTGATGTGCAAACTGTGGTAAGAGAAAGAGCTGGGTTTATTTGTGAGCCTCTGGCCAACGCCCAGCAGAGAATGCTCCCAGGGCAAGGCTGGACTAGGCTGTGGACTGGGTCAGAGTGCAAGACAGTGGGGATGGCTGCATCCTGGGTTGACTCCCCGGAACTTTCTTTGGGTGTGGTACCTGGTGTGTGCGAAACCACCTCTTCATGAGCGCTACCTGTGTTCGGAGAAGTGGGATTTTGTTTTTGATTTTTTTAATATATTTATTTATTTTTGAGAGACAGAGTGAGACAAAGTGGGGGGGGGGGTGCAGAGAGAGAGGGAGACACAGAATCCGAAGCAGGCTCCAGGCTCCGAGCTGTCAGCACAGAGCCCGACTCGGGGCTCAAACCCACAAACCGCGAGATCATGACCTGAACCGAAGTCAGATGTTTGACTGAGCCAAGAGAAGTGGGATTTTCAAAAAAAATTTTTTTCAATGTTTGCCTATTTATTTTGAGAGAGAGAGAGAGCATGAGCAGGAGAGGGGCAGAAAGAGAGGGAGAGAGAGAATCCCAAGCAGGCTCCACACTGTCAGCACAGAGACTAATGCAGGGCTTGAACTTAGGAACCGTGAGATCATGACCTGAGCCGAAGACTTAACCAGTTGGAGGCTTAACCGACCCAGCCACCCAGGTGCCCCTGAGAAGCAGATTTTTTGCATTTTGTCTCTGCTGTCGTTAGCTCACTGTGTGGCCTTGAGCAAGTAACCCTACTTCTCTGTGTCTCTGTCTCCCTGATTATAGAGAAGAGTTAAACCTAATTATTTCCAAGGTTGTCCTTCACTCTAACATGCTGTGATTCTAAGTTTACTTGCCACTAAAATGAGTCGGTCTCTCAAGCCGTAAGTCGAGCAGTTTCATCCTGGGAGATGAGCCCCTGCTGATACCTCTCCCTTCCCACTTCCCAATCCCCGGGACCTCAGAAGGAAAGCCAGTCCCCCACCCACCAACCTTCGTGGGATTGGCAGGTACAAATAATCACGGGTCCAGACATCTTAGAGAAGACGCCTGTGCATGGTGTCCGAACCCATGGGACCAGCTACATCTGCTGCGTGAAGGGGCCCCGGCCTTTGGGCCACCTTCACTGGGAGGGCACGGCGGCCGCACTTCGGCATTGCCCATCTCCACCCCGGAGACACGCCCGCCAGTGTTTCTACAAGTTCAGCGAGGGTCACTTCCCTCAGAACCACTGGGGCACTGAGCAAAATGGCCAGTTCCTCTGTTTCCTCCAGATCAATGTCTGGGGCGGAGTCAAGGAAACTGCATTCCCCAGAAATTCCGAGGAAGGAAAAGAATCCTCCCAGGCCGAGGTGAAAAGATAAAATTACATTTTTCAGCATCTTGAAGAGCACACTTGGACCATTTTCTAGAGCAGGTTTGGGGCAGAACTTGGTGTTTGCTCTGTACCCATCAGCGGTTTATCTGATTAATGGCCCGTGTTTGAGTTCAGCTTAACCTGCGCAGCTGATAAACCAGCCTTATAGGATGATAAGCCAGCCCGATAACTTTTGCCGAGATGAACAACCTGTCTCTGGTCCCACTTTTGGGTTTGGACCCATCTTTCTTCCATAAAGACGCCCTCCTCAAAGGCAATAGTAGTCGTCGACATTGCATCTTGTCGATCGAGTTTCTATGCCACACTCGGGCATTGGGCCTTAGTAATTTTCACAACACTGTGAAGTGTTTCTGTTTTATACCTGTCTCCCCCACAACACACACACACACATTGAAGATGAGGAAACTGAGTCTCAGGGGAGTTAGGGCAACTTGCCCAGGATCCCACAGCTGTGAAATGGGGATTGTTTCCTGAAACCTTGGATCCAGGTCAGATGCAAATCTGAACAAAAGGTTCCTTTATTCTGGAGCAGCGTTATTTCTAAAGATTAACAGCTGAAAGCTGTTAATCCTGGGAACAGGAGTGATGGGCCTGGGGTGGAGCACAAAGGGAGGACGGGTGGACAGGCTCCGCTGGGGAAGGGAACGTGGTGCTGAAGCTTGAAAGGCCACAGCAGGAGTGATGGGTGTCCCCTGCCCCTGGTAATGCAGCCACCAGCTTTGAAATTTCTGATTTCGGTGCCTGAGAATGACGTGGGAGTTCCCGGAGAGTCTTTCAATGTAACTGAAACTTCAGCCTGTTAAATCAGAAAAGTTGGGTTTCGATCTTTCCACTTCCCTTCCCCTGAGTGTCACCAGACACAAACATGTCCTAACTGTGGTGACGCTAGCTGATTGAAATACCCCTGTTCCCGCCACCTTTCCCAGTCCTAGGGAACTTGCTTTCCGCCCCCCCCTCCCCCGCCCCCGCCCCTGCAATGTTTGTTTATTTTTGAAAGAGAGAGAAAAAGACACAGAATCCGAAGCAGGCTCTAGGCTGTCAGTGCAGAGTATGACACAGGGTTCAAACCTATGAACCACAAGATCATGACCTCGGCCAAAGTTGGATACTTAACTGACTGAGCCACCCAGGCACCCCTAGGGAACTTGCTTTCTAAAGGAGGGTAGAGGTGGTCCCAAGGGAGGCTTTGAGGCTCGACTTTTAAATAAGAGACAGCTGCTCAGGGACCCTGGTTGGCCTTCTCAGCAGAGGTGAGGGTTGCAGTGAGCAGAGGCAGCTGGCGGGGGAGAGGGGGGGTGATCCCAGACCGTGGTTGGAGCCCCAGCTCTGCCACGCTCTAGCTCCATCCTTTCTGGCCGCTAAGTAATGAGTGCGACATCAGCGGCTGGCGTTAGGAGGTGCTTGCTGTGTGCCAGGCATTGCGTGGCTCCCTTTGTGTGCTTTGTCCTCTGTAGAGCTCGCAAGCATCCTGTGAGGGGGGTTGGTGTGTCCTCACCTTAGGGCGGTGAGCCACCTGCCAAAGCCACGTGACCGAGGAGGGGCAGAGCCTTGCTCACAGCTTCCCTGCTGCCGGCTCCCGCCCGTGCTCTGCAGCCCAGAGTCGCTCAGTCTTCCTTTCTGCCCGGGTGCCCTCAGCTGGGAAGAAGGCGGGTTGCTGCAGGCCCTGCCCATCCCCCGGGGTTGTGTTGAAGTTCAGATGAAATAACGGTTGGGATGGACCGTAGGAAAACAGACTGTAAAGTGCAGCCCCGTGTGAGATGCCGGTGTCTCAAGTTCATGTAACGCCCGCTGGGCCTGTGAGATACTGCGCCTTCTCCTGGAGCCAAGAGCAGGGCAGCCGCCGTCATCCTGAAATATTTCTGGAATCTTAAGGTGGTGGAAAAGTCACTTCCTGAAATAGCCGTGATTATGTGGTTGAACGGCCGCCCCAGGGCACCTCGTTATTTGCACGGCATTGCAGTGCGGACAAAGGGCTGTCCCAAGGCAAGGGGGAGTGCTGCTCCCAGGGCCTCACATACACGGCAGGAGGCGGGACAAGAACACACTGAAACATGTGAGCGTGTCACACTGTTGCGGCCACAGGCTGGCACGACTTGAGGGGCCTGAGGGGGTGAGATCACCCGTGCGATGGCCCAACTGTACCAGTCTGTGCTCTAGGCACGGGGAAAGGATAGTGAGCAGCACAGACAACAAATGAAAAGAGGTTTTGGAGAGTGGGAAGGGCTGTGAGGACAATGAAACAGGGTGCTGTGATAAAGAGAGACAGTGGCCTGCTCTGGAAGGCAGCTATGTTAACCACTGTATCACCAACGCCCCCCTCACAGGCCAGCTCTGGATAAGGTGATCAGAGAAGGAGGTGCTTGTAAGTCAAAGCCTGAGTGATCTGAAGGAGGAGACAAAGTGGAGAGCTGGAGGCCCGCCTTCTGGGTGGGGAGAACATCACATGCAAAGGCCCTGGGGCAAGAGCAAGCTTTTTTTTTTTTTTTTTTTTTTTTCTGGAATGGAGAGAAAGTCATTGTGTCCACAGGGGTGTGAGCGAGGCCCAGGCTGGGAGGAGTGAGTTGTGGGAATGAGTAAGAACCAAGATCATTGTGAGTCTTACCAGGGCCATGGCTTTGTTTACACAAGCTTTGTGGGTAAAGGTACATTGGAGTTGAGCTTTCAGGGAGAATGGGAGATCGTTCTTAGGGTGGCTAGGAAGAAGGAGTGGTGAAGGACTCCATAAACAGAGTTGCTATTCAGAAAGCAAGTCATGAGCTGGGGGGGGGGGGGGGGGGGGGGGGGCTGTCTTTGACCTCCTGGTAATTTTTCATCAGCCGCTTCTTCCTGCCTTGCAGTACCTTGCCTATAGGGAGGAAAGGAAAGTGTCCGAGCTCCCTGTACATGGCCTGGTTGGAGACGCTGTCCCAGGACCTCAGACCTCCGGTCATCCTGATCCGAGGAAACCAGGAAAACGTGCTCACCTTTTACTGCCAGTAACTCCAGGCATGGCCACGCCTGCCCAAAGCTGAGGAGGCCTGGGACATCTGTTTGTCGGTGGGGACAAGACTCGCGTCCTGATGTCCTTTAACTGGTAGCATCTGATGATCCGACTGAAGGAGCTGGTAGATTTCCAGACTTTGGCTAGACCCCACTCCCAACGGACACATCCTCTGGGCTTTGTTTGTATAGGCTAGGGAAGTAGCAGATGAAGTTGTGTGGAAAGTTCTCTGGTGGATATATATTCCTTTTAAGTTTTCTTTTGATCTCGATTACAACGAATTAAGATTTCCGTCTTTGATTTATCTGCAAATTTGAGTCGGAGTGCTGAGTGTGAATCTGGAAGTTTCTAGACCTTCCCTAGGAGTGCTCCCTCAGTGTACCTCCCTCCTCCAACAGTCAGGAGGATGGACACCCCCCTGCAGCCCTTCCAAGGAGGAATCACAGGGCCCTCTGAGCCTCCATGATGCAAATTTCTTTAACCACTTCTCACTCTCTTCACTTTCAATAATGTGTCTTCAGCATTTGGGTTGGTTCTTTACTAGACGAGGGACTTTCAAACTTGTTTGGGCTGCAACCCCCAGTGAGAAATATATTTTTCGTTGAGACTTGAAACAAACATGCACTGAAACTATAAAGTGTCACAAAACAATACTTATCCTTACTATGGGTGATGCGCTCTGATATTTTCTGTTATACTTTGTTTCCTCTTTTTTTTTTTTAAGGGAGGGGAGAGGGAGAGAGGGAGAGAGAGAGAATATCAAGCATACTCCATGTTCAGCATGGAGCCAGACTCGGGGCTTGATCCCATGATCCTGAGATCACGACTTCAGTTGAAATCAAGAGTCGGATGCTCAACAGACTGAGCTGCCCAGGTGCCCCTCTTTTTCTCTTTTGACGTTGGTTGCAATCCACTAATGGGTGGTGACCCATGATTTGCAGAAAGGCCATGTTGGACACCACTGGCGTTTCTCCATCATATCCCACAGAGAAGGAAAAGGAAGGAAAAAAACATGTGAGGAGGGGTATTGGTGGTGGACGTGTTGAGAACGAGCTTCAAAGGAGGGACAAGAGTTAGGATGTCTCATGGAAGGATGTTAATTTTCAGGTGTGGTTGGGGAGGGAGGATGGAGGTCTGGTTAGGGATGTTCAGGATGCAGGTTTGGTGGGTCAGGAATGGAGAAGCAGAGAAGAGGTATAAAGATGGCCAGATTGGCAAAGGATCAGAAAGGTCCACGCCCCGTCCAAGGCCTGGTGAAGAGCGAGGGGTAAGGAAGCACCAGCCAAAGACGGAGGCAGAGGGGGCTGCGGTGGAGGTGAGTGCAAGACGGGGCTCAGCAGTGAGAGGGAACCTGGGGAAGATGAGCCTTGCTCAGGTAAGGGTGTTTGGATGCTTACAGAGCGTTTGCGCCAACCAAGCTAGGACGCAAGAGCAGAAGGTACATTAAGAGATGCCCCGTGCCGGCGGGCGAGCCTCCCTGAAAGGGCATTTCAGCTCTAGATGCACCCCTGCAACCCATACAAGTGGGTTGTTGGGAGGTATGACTGGCTGGGCCTCCTTGCAGTGGCCACTTTCTTGAGGGCGGCCAAAGGAACGAGGCATCTTTGGGTCTGGTAAGCCCCCTCCAAGCCCACTGAAGTGCCCACTTAGTCACGAAGGCAAAAATCTCTTTCTTAGGATCAGGAGCCAAGG